AATAATAGTTATTCCCCGTCTAAATAATATATTAGATTAATTGTTTTCATGAGTAAATTAAAATTTACTTAATGATGCTATGTGTATGTATGTGTGTGTTATACATTTTTTAAAATAATATGTAAACCATTTAATATTCAACATATTTTTTTTATTTGAATAAATTACTTCTTTATATCATATATGTTGATTATATTTCATTTTATATATCTTATTTTTATGATTTTCCGTCATATGTATTGTATCACATTTATTTTATTCTTTCTAAATATGTTACGTCTAAATTAAAATATTCGAGCGCTCACGTGCACGTAAAAGTCGCCAAACTGAATAGAAAAATTATTTGCTATTATGTAAGGTACAACTTTAATTATTGATAATTTAATATATGAAAATTCACAAATAAGTATGCAAGATGCGATGGAACAAACTCTTTTATATAAAAGATAATATGGTCTCTTAACAATTTTTTGTAAACAGGAGGCGACACGTATAATGCTGATCACTAAAAACACAGAATTTAATAATACTGGTTTGTATTATGACTTTTCATTGTTTATCATTATGCATCGCCCACCATTAGTAGTAAATTGAATTGTCAAATCAATACAAGAAATTGGAGTATAAATTTTATTATAAAATTTATAAAATTTTTATTATTAATAAGTAATTATTCTTAATTTTTATAAATTTTGTAAAATAAATTATAGTATATGAACCAGTTGATTTTAATAAATAATTAATTATTTTAATAAATCATTTCTAAATTATTTATTAAATTTAAGATTTTAATAAATAATTATAAATGATAATAATAAATAATTGTTAGATGATATTATATATTGCGCTAAGTGCTACTGCTGACAAAGATATATGAATTATTAGTTGTAATTTATGCTAATAAATGTAATTCTAGAAATATATTTCGTCAGTTTTATATTTTCGACACAGAGGAATAATTATTAAAAGAGGAAATGATGCACAAAATTACACTCTATTATATCCTACGTATATATGTATTGTGTAATGAAAAACTAATGAGAAAATATTTTTTAACAATATGTATTTTTTTCGACAAATATAATTCCTGAGAAACTACATTATAATGCATGTAGAATATTAAGTATAAAAGTGTTAGCATTAGATTTAAGATATTAAGTTTAAGATGGATGGTCAAGGATAAGCAGATGGCACGTAGAAAAACTTAAGCAGTAAGGCGTAAGCAATAAGCAGTAAGACGTTAACAGCAAGAAATAAACAATAAAGACAAGGCATATAAAAACTTAAGACGTAACATTTTATCAATCGTAACATTAAAAACTAGCAGAAAATATATAGTGAAAGCTTAAAGATTGTCTATCCTATAAGAGCAAAAAGTATATTTATATGATATTATTTGAGAGTAGGACTTAACTTTACAATGTTTTGATAGATTGTTTTGATAGAGGAGTAAAAGTGTTTGCACTACAAATTAAAAAAAACATATATAACACTTGCGAATAATATTAATGTTCCATATTTGATAAACATTTAACCATGTGGTATAATAAACATAACCAATGGACATAAACTACATAGAGATAATAAACATAAACAGTACTGATTCTCTGTACCAACAGTGTATTTCGAAATGCAACCTTGATTGACCGTAAGACTTGAAATTTAAAATTTCATCCTTATTGAATTTTTCAGCGTTACGTCTTCAGTTTTAAATTTTAATATGGCGTCCTTAAGGTTTGACTTTGATTAATCGATTTGCTTATTTCTTACGTCTTACTGCTTCAGTTCGCTTATGTGCCATGGCCCTTAACAATATCAGAATGCCTGAATAGTAAGCGATTCGTCTCGGGAATGATGAACTACATAGCCCTTACTGTCGATTTGTATTGTCGATATTTATTGTATCATTTATATTTTCAGAGGTAATTAAAGCAAAACGATTTTTTTAGCAGAAAGCGCACCATCATTATTGCCGCGATTTGTTGCTTCCAGACTTCTCTTCGGATTAAAAGTTGTCTTATTATTATTTTTAGATATGTCCAATATTTGGATTGTATACTACCAGATTACAAAGCTCGCGTACAAACAAAAGGACACGCGGGCCAAGTCGCATGCAAAGCAACCTAAAACTACACGCCAACGAGCAAAGTCCAATATAATTCTTAAAATTAATTTAGTATCTTCAGTTAATAAACTCAATATTATTAGGTGAGCAAAAAAGTTCTAGGCTTTTTTTGCAAAATTCAATCTTTATTTAAAAACAAATAAAAAAATATTAATCAGCGAAATATTACCCGTTTGCATCGATGACCTTTTGCCAACTTTCGGGCAGTTTGCGAATTCTCTGATAATAGAAATTCACCGGCTTTTTGAAGCTATAAAGTTATTAATGCGTTTTCGTATCTCTTCACGTGTCACGAAATGTATATCAACCAAGTGATGCTGCAGCGACCGGAATAAGCGGTAATCAGAAAGTGCCATGGGCTATACGCCGCGTGCGGGAGAAGTTCCCAGGCTGACTCTAAGATATGGTCCTGAGTCGCTGTCGCAACATGTAGTCGGACATTGTCGTGAAACAGGATCACTTTACGATGTCCTTGATTAGTAAATGACCTTTTTCCTTCCAACACATCGCTCAAATTGGTCAATTGTTGTTGATAGTGGTCTGCTATGATTGTTTTGCCCGGTTGTAACAACTCATAATACAAAACATCTTTCCAGTCCCACCAGATGCAGAGCAAAATCTTCTCAGCATGGATAATTGGCTTTGGCATCGAAAGTTGACCAGGGTCAAGCCATAATTTTTTGCACTTGTGGTGATCATAAAGAATCCAATTTCCATCTCCTGTAATGATTTCGTGCAGAAAATCCTTTTTTCGGAACTTTGAAAGCAAAGTGAGCGCGCCGTCAATTTCTGTTGTCTTTGAACAGTTCATGCGGAACCCATCTGCCTTCCATCTGAATATTTCCTATTGCATGTAAACATATGGAAATGGCTTGCCGCGTAACACCAAACTGCTCTGCAAGCTCCTTTTCAGTTTGCGCAGAGTTTATATCTAACAATATTTGCAGTTCGTCCGTTTCAATCTTTTGAGGGTATCCAGCACAGTTCATCTTCAAAACTGTAATCTCCTTAGCGAAATTTTTGATATCACCTTTTACACATAGAATGACATACAGCATTCCCACCATATCATCACCACCATAGCATCATAAATCATTTTCAGTGGCTTCAGCAGCATTTTTCTTCAAATGAAACGCAAAGTGGATGGAAAATCGAATATGCTTTATTGTTATTGCCATTGTGAACACTACTGATTCTTGATATTTTAAAAGGCCAAATATCAACGCTTTAAAACCGCAAAAGGACTGGAGTATAAATAAAATTTAAATTGTTTCGATTGTATAAAATCTAAAGCCCAGAACTTTCTTGCTCATCTAATAATATTATTAAAAAGAGCTATGACAAATTAAAACTGAATATCTACACTAGTTCCTAAGACATTTCTGATATTTTACAAATACAACATTTTGAGAAAGGCACATCTAAATTTTGTAGTAAAGTTTAAATATTTGTAATTCTTAAAATTCAAGTATGTTATTTATACGCACGTAAATACCTGACTAAAGTTTCCTTTACATATTTCTCGTTTTACATCTCTTTCTTTAAAAGATTGGAATATCATTTGAAACGTTTAAACATATTAGTACATTATTTAAAACGACAAAAGATGTGTAAAGAAAACTCAAACTAATGAAGTGCTAATACGTGTAAAAATAACAGGCTCCATTTTGCAGTACATTCTACTGCTTTTAGAGTCTTTTAATGTTCATAGTTATTTGTCGAAAGTACACAGAACCCACTTAGGATCATAAAAATGGCGGACAAAGTCTAACGCAAAGCAATCTACTAGTTAGATCATTTCTGGTAAAGTTCCTTCAGTTCTCCTTCAGTTCTCAAAATTAGTTGAATATATATTAATAATAAACTCATTATTAATATATACTCATTTATATCATTAAACTGTAGATTGCTCACAGTAATACAATATTTTATAAAGCTTGAAATCTTGAAAAGTCCCTACTTATTATACATAGCCACCATGATTATTCCAAAAAGATTTACCTAGTAATATATATGAGCATAAATATTTCATAAAAATAAGATACCGTGTATCAAAATCATATAACACATAACATATAACATATAACATATAAAACATATAACATATAGCACGTAACTACTACTTCAATTAAAAGGTAAGTTGAAATCGAAATATAATAACTTAATTACGAATTATTAATTCAACAGGTTAAGTTTTTGATACAAAATATTACATTTTTCCAAATATTTTGTCATTGAAAAAGTTGCAAAATGGGCGAAAAAAACATTACAGATACATATATACAGAGTTTTTGAAGTTTACATAAATTTCTTTAATATATGATATTTTCTTAAATTCTAACAGAAGTTATTCTTACTTAATTCAATTTTTAAATATAATTTTTTTGCAGAAATTTATGTAATATCTATTAATAACTTTTACAGAACCCTCTTTGTTTCTATTGTATTCTTATTGTAGCGATATTATTTTATTTTATATTGATTAAATCGGATGGAAAATATAATGGCGTTTTTTCAAACTTTTATTTTGATAAATATGCACAATAACATAATATCCTGCAACATAAGGCTTGCAACATACGTTTCAAATTTATTCATAATATTACTTGCGGTAATAAATATAAATATTTATGACTATCTAGTTCTATGTCCTCAGTTCAAATTACCTACGTCTTCAACTGTAAGCAACTCTCGAAATTATCAGAAACGTACGTAAACATTCTATTAGTAAGCTTCAAGCAATCTATGTATAACCATCAGTACTGTGTGCACAGACAATTCTGTTATTTCTGCTAAGATGTCGAATACTGCGCATTACTTCTAAGTTGATATTGCAGATACGATATTTTATCATTAGTTACATAGGCATACTAACATGGACATAACGAAGACAATATTTCTATATTCTGGACCATGGACGTCTGAACATTATAACAAGATCTTTCATCCAAACCTTTGCCACGTTTGCAAGAAGACTAGAGAAGTGGTAAATTTGATAACATGTAATCGATGTTTCATGATCTCATACTGCTCCGAAGATCACAAAAACGTACATCTTCCGCAACACCGCAAGCTTTGCACAACTATAGAAAAAATCCTGAAGAGCAATCCGCAATATCTCACTCGCCGTTTTAGACCGTTTGAATTCCTTGTAACAAAGCGTCAATTTTTTCGAATAATTGAACATATTCTACGACGTAATCTTGAGAAATACGAAGCTGAAATGTTCTTCTTCGCTAGATCATGTTTAATTTGTCACCAACAAACCGGACTGTATTCCTGCAAAAAATGTTTGTCCGCCGACTATTGTTTAGAACACAAAAAAGAATTTGAAGAGCTACATCACACCCTTTGCGACGTTTTAATATTGTGGCTCAATCTTGAGCTTTCAAATATTCAGTACGAAAGTAAAGCCTCATTATCGTTGAAATTTATGAAGTTACCTGATAACGATGGATCTTTCAATGATATGACAAGATTTATAGAACAATATATACAAAATGAAACGGGTGTATGGTACGCTTTGGATTACATCTATACCGATTATGTGTCAGAACCGCTCTCGATATATCATGGCATATGCTGCGCAGGATTTCTTGATATACTATTGACCGAATCTATCTGTGTCATTCATGTTATAGCAGCAAACTCTACACAAAGAAACGGCTTATCAGCTTGGGAAATATTGTTACACCTTTTCTCAAATATACAAGTGCTAATAGTTGTATTGATAGGAGCAGAGTTACACTTTGAATTTGGTATACAAGAGATTTGTTTCCGTTGTGTTCGCAATAAGAAGAAGTTTATCTTTGAATGTTGCGGTATGATATATAGCGATTATATGGACAATCCGATGCATAGAAAAGCGAACTTGATCGTAGGTTTCCAACCATTTTTTGAATTTGGTTCATGGGACAAATGTATACAGACAATGCAATCTCAGGAATGTCCAATACTGTTAATTCATCATACGATAGATGCAGCAATAAGAATGGTACATAAGATTCGGAATGTTTTGGGTGATGATGTACATCCTTTTCTTATCGTTAAAAATAAATTCCAGTCTCTAAGACCATATAGAGCTATTGACGTTATCTATTATCGTAATTCATGTTTGATTATCTATAAAACATTAAAGAATACAGACAATACGACTGAAAGCAGTAGTTAAAATTGCATATAATCATATGTTCATTTTGGTGACAGGATAAGAAATGGGTTGATTTAACGTAACAATAAACAGAGCAAAATACGTTTAGTGCGTTCATTGTCTCGTTAATTAAATAATAGTTATTCCCCGTCTAAATAATATATTAGATTAATTGTTTTTATGACTAAATTAAAATTTACTTAATAATGCTATGTGTATGTGTGTGGGTATGTTATACATTTTTCAAAATAATATTTAACCACTTGATATTAAACATATTATTTTTGTTTAAATGAATGTTTACATCACATGTATTGATTACATTACATTTTGTATATCTTATTTTTATGATTTCCCGTCATCTGTATTGTATCACATTTACTTTGTTCTTTGTAAATATTTTGCATCTAAATTAAAATATTCGAGCTCTCACGTGCAGGTAAAAATTGCCAAAGTGAATAGAAAAATTCTGCTATTATGTAAAGTACAACTTTAATAATTGATAATTTAATGCATGAAAATTCTCAAATAAATATACAAGATGCGACGGGACAAACCCTTTAATATGAAAGATGATATGGACCTCTTAACAATCTTTTGTCAACAGCAGGCGATACGTATAATGCTGTTCACTAAAAACACAGAATTTAGTTATACTGGTTCGTATTGCTTCCATTGTTTATTATTACTCATCGCCCGCCATTAGTAGTAAATTTAATTGTCAAATCAATAAATTGGACTAATTTATTATTATATTATTTATCATTGTATTATAAACAATTGCCGAACGCACTTTAGTATTGTATATACTCCGAATCTTAGTAAAATATTTTAATGAACTTTTTTAAATTCTCTTATAGAATTTTAATTATTGTTAAAAAGTAAATATTCTTAATAATTTTTATAAATTTTATAAAACAATTATAATATATAAATCAGTTTATTTTAATAAGTAATTATTTTGATAAATAATTATTTTAATAAATAATTTCTACAATATTTATTAAATTTAATATTTTGATAAATAATTATAAATGAATAATAACTAATTGTCACATGATGTTATATATTGTGCTAAGTGCTATTGCTGACAAAGATATAGATAATTAATTGTAATTTATGCTAATAAATGTAATTCAAGATATAATTCGTCAGTTTTGTGTTTTCGTGATAGTAGTGTAATTAATGAAATAAAAAATGGGACACAACATTACGCGCTGTTTTGCAACATACGCCATATATTTCAAATTAATTCATAATATTACTTGAAGTAATAAATATCTATGTAGCCATGTAGCCCTATGTCCTCAGTTCAGATTGCCTGCGTCTTAAACTGTAAACAACTCTGCAGATGCGCAAAAACATACATATATTTTAATAGTAACCTTCGAGCAATCCACGTATAACCATCAATACTGTGTGTACAGAGAATCCTATTATTTCTGCTAAGGTGCCAAATACTGCGTGTTTTCTAAGTTGATATTACAGATACGGTATTCTATCATTAATTACATAGGCATATTAACATGGATATAATGAAGACAATATTTCCATACTCTGGACCATGCACATCTGTATATTACAATAAGATCTTTCACCCAAATCTTTGCCACGTTTGCAAGAAGACTAGAGAAATGGTAAATTTGATAACCTGTAATCAATGTTTCTTGATCTCTTACTGCTCCGAAGATCACAAAAATCTGCATCTTCCGCAACATCGTCAGCTTTGCACAGTTATAGAAAAATTCCTGAAGAACAACCCGCAACGACTCGACCACCGTTTTAGGTCGGATGAATGGTATGGAGCAAAGCTTCAACTTTTTCTAATAATTGCACCTGATTTAGGACGTAAACTTCAGAAATATGAAATTCAAATGTTCACCTTCGCTAGATCATGCTTAATTTGTCATCAACAGACCGGGGTGTATTCCTGCAAAAAATGTGTGTCAGTCGACTATTGTCTAGAACATAAGGAAGAATTCGAACGGAAACATAAACGAACTTCCTGTAACATTTTGATACTGTGGCTGAATCTTGAGCTCTCAAATGTTCAGTACGAAAGTAAAACTTCATTATCATTGAAATTTATGAAGTTTCCCGATAACGATAGACCTTTCAATGACACGGCAAAATTTATAGAACATTATGTACAAGACAAAAAAGGTATATGGTACGCTTTGGATTACATCTATACTGATTATGTATCAGGACCGCTTTCGGTATATCATGGGATGTACCGCGCAGGATTGCTTGATGTACTATTGACTGAATCTATTTGTATCATTCATGTTGTAGCAGCAGGCCCCATACAAAGAAATGGCTTATCAGCTTGGGAAATATTGTTACACCTTTTCTCAAATATACAAGTGCTAATAATTGTATTGGTAGGAATAGATTTACAATTTGAATTTGGTATGCAGGAGATTTGTCCCCGTTGCGTTTGCAATAAGAAGAAATTGATCTATGAATGTTGTGGTATGACATACAGCGATTACATGGACAATCCGATATATAGAAGAGCAAACTTGATCGTAGGTTTCCAAGCAGAATTAGAATTTGGTTCATGGAACAAATGTATACAGACAATGCAATCTCAGGAATGTCCGGTATTTTTAACTCATATAACGTTGGATGCAGCGCTAGGAGGAGTAGTTAAGATTCGAGATGTTTTGGGTGATGATGTACGTCCTTTTCTTATCGTTAAAAATAAATTCAGATCTCTAAGACCACACAGAGCTGTTGAAGAGATCTATCATCTTAATTCGTTTTTGATTGTCTACAAAACATTAAAGAATACAGACAATGCAACTGAAAGTAGTTAAAATTGCATATAATTATATCTCCATTTTGGTGACAGGATAAGAAATTGGTTGATTTAATGTGACCATAAACAGAGCAAAATTTAGTGAAATTAATACAGAGTAAAACATTTAGTGCGTTCATTGTCTCGTTAATTAAACTAATATTTATTCTCCGTCTAAATAATATATTAGATTAATTGTTTTTATGAGTAAGTTAAAATTTGCTTAATGATGCTATATGTATATGTTATACATTTTTCAAAATAATTTATAAACCAATTGAAATTAAACATATTTTTTTTGTTTTTTTGTTTTTTTTGTTTTAATGAATGACTTCTTTATATCATACATCTTGATAACATATTTTATATATTTTATTTTTATGATTTTTGATCATGTGCAGTTATTACGTTTATTACTTTTATTTTATTCTTTATAAATATGTTGCATCTAAACTAAAATATTCAAACGCTCGCGTATAAATAAAAGTCGCCAAAGTGAATAGAAATCTTCTGTTATTATGTAAAATAGAATAGTGAATAAAATTATTTGCTGTTATATAAAATACAACTTTAATTATTGATAATTTAATACAAGAAAATTCATTAATAAATATGCAAAATGCGATAGGACAGACTCTTTGATATGAAAAATGATACAGATCTTTTAACAAACTTTTAATAACAGTAGGCCATACGTGATGCTGATCAATAAAAACACAGAATTTAATAATACTGTTTCATATTACGAGCTTCTATTGCTTATCATTACGCATCATCTGCCGTTAATGAATTGATTTCTCAAATCTACACAAGAAATTCGACTAATTTATTATTGTATTATGAACAATTGCCGAACGTAAGTTATATTTTCCATATAGACTCCGAATCTTAGTAAACTATTTTAATAAACTTTTATAAATTCTCTTATAAAATTTTATTTATTGTTGATAAGTAATTATTTTTAATAATTTTTATAAATTTTAAAGAAATTTTATAATATATATGTACCGGTTGATTTTAATAAATAATCAATTACTTTAATAAATAATTTCTAAAGGACTTATTAAATTTAAGATTTTAATAAATAATTATAAATGAATAATATATAATTGTCAGATGATGTTATATACTGTACTAAGTATTATTGCTAACAAAGGTATATAGATTACTAGTTATGATTTATACTAATAAATATAATTCTATAAGAAATATATTTCATCAGTTTTGTATTTTCGAAATAGTGAGATATTTAATGAAATAAGAAATGAAATACAAAATTACGTGCTGTTATGCCTTAATATACGTATTGTGTAACGAAAAACTTATAAGAAAACTACATGTATTTCTTTCGACACATATAATTCCTGAAAACTATAATATGATGCATGTATTAGGTATACAAATTAATTCTCGGCCTTTTTTGACTAACCTTGACATTTATTTATCAAAACAAATATAAACTCAATCTTCAAAGTAATCTCCTTCGTTTTCTACACATTTTTGCCATCTCTCAGGCAATTGTCGGATTCCAGATCGGAAAAATGATGGTGGTTTTAATTCAGTGAATTCATCAAGGCTTTTTTCGACCTGTTCAACTGACTTGAATTGAGAATCAGTATTGTTGATCAGTTAGATGGTGCTGTAAGGATCGAAGTAAGTAATAATCCGAAGAGGCCAAGCATGAAGAATACGCCACATGAGGGAGAATTTCCCAGCCTAAATCTGAAATGGTTTCCAGAGTCTTTTTTGCTATGTAAGGCCGAACATTATCCTGCAGCAGTATCACTGTCCTTCTCCCACTGCCGGTAAACGGTCTTTTTTCTTCAAATACGTCATTCACGCGGTTGTTGGTAGAGCTCAGAAATGACGGTCTGACAAGGTTGAAGCATTTCATAATGGATCACGCTCTTCTGATCCCACTGTTGTTTTTCGAATGACATCGCGTCTACAACTGATTTTTCAGGTTATGTTCACAGCAGGATCAAATATTATACCTCATTTTAAAGCTAAAAGATAGCACTTTAAAATAACTATATAGCGAAAAGAAAATTCCAATTTGAATAGGTTCTATAATCGATGAAAGGTAGGGGCCGAGAATTAATTTGTAATACCTAATAGAATATTAAATATTAAATAAGAGTGCTAGTATTAGATTCAAGACATTTATTTTAAGTTGTTGGTTAATGTTAACAATATCAGAATGATCAAATAGTCAAAT